TGACAGCAATATTGTCTAATACATGCAAAACACATTTATTAATTACAATATTTTTCTTTCAGGGCAGATGAAGATAAGTACACGGTTAGCCGTTTTATTGATATATCCTCTGATGGCTCCATTTCTTTATTTCAAGCACATCAACTCACGTCTGCCTGCAATTTGGATATCCACCCATTTCCTTTTGATGAGCAAAAGTGCAACTTAACTATGGGGCCAGCATTACATGAAGGTATCTTAAAGGAGCACAGTGCAATTATGGTTTATCATAAATTTTGCTTGCCCTTCCTTTCTACACAGACTTCTGAAGCTATACTTATGCACACATTCTCCATATCTCTCTGGTTTCTGCACTTCAGCCTGCCATTGCTGCAGTCTGCAATGTATTTGCTTTATGTTTTCTTATTTTGTTAATATAGAACTCACATTTTTGCTCTTTCTCTGCATCATCTATTAGAAGACAGGAAGTGTGCTTTCTCTATCACAGTGCCTGTCTTGGATCAGCTGATTCTTATTGTCTCACCCACCCAGATTCTGATCGCTTTTGTAAGACTTTGGGCCAGGCGATGGATGAGCCCATTTGTAAAGGTTTGGGGTACTGAATGATGTAGGCTAACTTTAACTTAGTTGTTGTTTTATTTTTCTTGATTTTATACTTGTTTCAATTCTATATTAGCCTTCCAACCATTTCACTGAAATTTGTGAGTTGGGCTGCCCCATAAATTTATATAGGTACAGTACATGTATACATTCATATGTAATTATTGCTCATTTCCATCACTAATCACTAAGGGGAAGATTTCAGCCCATAGTACAGAATATAACATCTTAATGGAATCATCAGTTTTCATTTTGTTTTATGGATATATTTTATATCAGACTTCCCAATCTGGCTGCTTCTCAGATGTCATGGCCAGACATTTGGGAAATGCTATCGCAATACAGGTGGTCCTCAAATTCTACTTCTTCTTGTGCCATATCCGTTATCGGACGTTGGCGATCATGTTGGTGATCCTGTTTTTATCAGCAGCCGCACGAAAAAGTGCTGCTGAGTTTTGTCCAAATCTGTCCCTTAGATTTTGAAGCCACGATGTTCTTCTGCCTGGACCTCGTTTGCCTTCAATCTTTCCCTGGAGGAAAGATTACAAATTACAACCCCCAATTAGGGCCAACAACGTGGTTGTTAAGTGAGTCATGACCAGTTTTATAATCTTGGCTGTTAAATGAATCACTGCAGTTGTTAAATGGATCACAAAGTTGTTAAGCAAATCCGGCTTCCCCCCATTGACTTTGCTTGTCAGAAACCAGCTGGGAAGGTTGCAAATGGTGACCACACAGGACCCTGGGACACTGCAACTGTCACAAATACATGCTTGTTGCCAAGGACCTGAATTTTGATCATGTGACTCTGAGGTTGCTGTGGCGGTCGTAAGTGTGAGGACCAGCAGTAAGTCACTTTTTTCAGTGCCGTTGTAACTTTGAATGGTTGTTAAATGAACGCTTATAAGTCGAGGATTAGCTGTATACTTGGAGGATAACAAGAAAGGGATGAACCTTCTATATATTCAGTATAGGACTGTCTTTGTTCAGACTGTCCTGAATTGGCAGTCCTCTGGGTCATGGGTCTTATATTCTTTCCAGAAAATGAAGTGAAGATGAAAAGCATTAAAACTTCCCAAAAGACAAACCAAGACAGTCGCCGCCATTATTTAGCCGGTGGAGAGTGGAAGTTTGAGAATGTGAGGATCATTGAGGAAACTCAAACTTATGGCCCCTCCAAATACAGTTCAGTCATCTATGAGGTATGGTTTATTAATGCATTTACTATACATCTTCTTTGTCAGATGATGTAATGATAGGTGGGAGCAAGCTTCGGAGACGGGAAAGACCCACAGCCAGGGGAACAATCAGACAAGCAACACCTGGGCCCTCAGAAGGAATGTGGGAATGGCAGACGTCTCAGAAGAGACCCTCCCTAGTTTCTTAGGCTGTGAAGGTAGCGGGGAAGACGTGCACTTTCCGACTTGCAAGGTTCTGTTAATGTAATTTGAAAGAGTCTGTTAATGAGTGCTGATAATGCCACTGAAATAAGCAAAGCTAATAGTTACTGTATTGGTGCTGGTGTTTCTCTTGATGGAAGTTTGGTAAAATGATAAGGGAACAGTCCTAAGCAAATTTACTAGGAAAATACCCCAGGGATAAATACATGATGCACACTCTATACCCATCCTTTTGACAGTATTTTTCCCCCAAATCCAGATAGTTCTGTCTCCATCCCTACAATCAATCTATACATTATCCAGTGCAATGCCTTTCAAAGTTAGCATGCTCTGAGTTTTATGTGTGGAATCTTCATTGGGGAGGGGGCATATAAACAAGACAATTCAAACCAAGTGGCTTCCTTGTAGGGTTTGGAAACTGATTGGAAGTCAGACTGATACTTCCCAATAGTGAAATCAGGTAGAGTAGGCCAGGTCTTAAGAGAAGGATAGAAAAGAGATTTTGGCTTTCCACAAGAAATTGAGAATAGCTAATATTTATTTTAAAAAAAAAAGAATTGTTATCATGGGCATAGAATCGAAGAAACCATGATTTGAACATCATTTTCCATCTGAACACTGGATTTCAGAAAAGGGAAGATGCTAGAACTTGCCACCACAATGCTATGGATTGTAGAATTTAATATGTTATTCCAACGTGGGAAAAGTAGGTACTATATACAGTCAGCCAGTTTGGTCTAGTGGTAAAAGCACCGGGTGAGAAAGCAAGAGACGGTGAGTTCTAGTCCTACTTTAAGCAAGAAAGCCAGCTGGATAAGCTTGGGCCAGTTCTCTCAGGCCCAGCTCATGGCCTGAAGTTACTCAGCTGGCTTTCTTGCCTAAAGTAAGACTACAACTCATAGGTCCCACAGAGTTGTTGTTTGGGGGAAATAGGAGGCAGAAGGAATATTAGGTAGCAAGCCAAAATAAATGTATATGCCATCTATATTGTCAAAGATGTTCAAATAAATACTCGGGTTCAAGGCCCCCCCCCCCGCCACTTAGCCATGCAAGTCGCTGGGTGACTTTGGTTCATTCTCTCTTTCTCTGCTCAACCAATGTTACAAGAGTACTCATTAGGTATGTTAGAAACATAGAAAACTAACAGCAGAAAAAAGACCTAGTGATCCATCAAATCTGCCCTTTGAGTTTATTTGTTTTTTATTATCTTTTTAATTTATTGAGTTATTTATTAATTTTAATTATTATTTTTATATTTTATTTATTATTATTATTATTATTATTTTTAACTTTTGTCAGATGATGGACATGTGCTTATCCCAAACATGTTTAAATTCAGATACCTGACTGACTGACCCCTGCTTCCACCGGAGGTTCGTTCCAAGCTTCCCTTTGCTCTTTCTGTGAATACTTTCAAAGAAAGTATTACTTTTTAAGTAATACTATTCGCTGCCTTTAGTTGTTTATAAAAAGAGTAAAGGCGGTATATTAAATAGATAAAGAAATAGATAAATAGTGCACAGAAAAATAGGATGAGGAAGTGTTTTTTATACTGCCTCGAGTTCTTACCGGTAATTTAAAGACAGGATCTGAAACCAAAAATTAAACAAAGATAATAAATACAGTGTTGTCTTTCTATCTTGTCCTCCTCCAACTGCATTTTTGGGGTTACTGCTTCATTCTCACAGCAGGTATTAAATTGCATTCTTCTTCACTGTGTTTTGGAAAAAGATGCTATGTTACTTGGTATACAAAAAGGGCTTTACTGCAGACCATAGCGGATGTTTTGCTGCAAATCAGAGAGGCAGAACCAAACCATCAGATTCTGCCTAGGTTCTGAAAACATTTTGTTTTCAATAAAACCATAATTTCCTCTTTTGTCCTGTTTTCATCTGGCTGAGTCTCCAAAACCTTTTTTTTCCTCTAATGGATATTTCTAGTCTAAAATTTCAAAGATACCTTTTTTCTGTCAACAAGATAAAATTCTTGCTGGATCTTTGCCTAACAAACTGTTCAAAGAGAAATAGCTCACAATTTTTTCAATTAGAAATTGGAGCACGAAATGGTCCTAGCATTAGTGATCAATTTCAGAATCTCTCCAGCATCAGTTTGCATTAATTCAGTCCCTATTGGCTGTTCTATCATTTCCCAGAGTATGAGAATATTAAATATTTCTGGAAAAGGAAAGCTTGTGGTCTCATCCATTTTTAAGTTGCTAAAATCAAGACTAATGTTGTGTACTTCGTTCATGTGCGAATGATGAAGACACATGGCGATGCTGAACAAACACTTTATTCTCCTACAACAACAAAACAAAAGC